GGGGGGGGGGGGGGTAGCAAAGCACGCGATTCCGTGTTTATAAAACGTTGACTAATCATATTCGAGAAAATCTATGAATATACGAATTACATCGACGCTAGGCCGACATAGTACTTGGAATAATAAACGAAAATTTTGTGAGAAGCCGGATACGCTAAATGGCATCTAGAAAAACAGGCACGTGTCTCAATGTAGTCCACATCAACATTTTCAGCCAGAAAACCTTGCTGAAGAAGTTTTAGACTCGATAATATTATCTTCTCTAGTTCGCGATACAGATTCTCATGGGATTGATCGTAATATCCATTTTTTTGTTGTGGCACCAGATATAACAGCGTGACTCGACATCGTCCAGATGGATTTACAGAAAACGGAAAGACACTCGCACGATTTTAGTGGAATTCCATTCTTTTTTTTTTAAATAAAGAAGTCGCACAGGGAGGAAAAGGTTGATTTCCACGAGTCGAGAGCATCCTTCGGAAGCAGTACTCGGGAGCATTTACGAAGCCCAAATTACGGAAGCTATTGTCACCAAATTTCAATTACGGAAGCTATTGTCACCAAATTTCAGCCATGACGTCCACGTAAAAGTGACGAGAATGATTAAGTAACGCAAAGTTGAATGTTGCTTAAAATATCAGCGCTCGTCCTCGATATTATAAATAAGATGGAACTCAGGTATTTTTGAGTTTTAGCTTATGTAACAAGGAGGTTCCTCCCTGCGGATGGTGCACTAGGTTGATGATGACCTTTCGACACTGATTCTTGCATCAGTGCTCGCGATCGATCCTAGATTCTATTCTGGACGACGATAAATCCAAATGTAAAGACAAGTACACCAGGTGCTTGGCCGAGGATGCTCTAAAAGGCGGAGAGAGGGGGAGAGTTAATTGTTAAGACTTCCTAATGATTGGATTGCTTCTTATTTTCAGAGGTCAGAAGGTCAATCGAGCCTGTGGAGCATGTGGAGCAAATTTCACATATGGATAAAACTGTGTGCTCACATCTCAAACTTCCCATGACTGTGGAAACAATAAAAAACAAGAAATATTACAACGTCAGTTTCGTGATGCACGTGGAGAACGAGGAAGAAGAGGGTCTCTATAATCTCTACTTCCATAGCTGTCCCAATTACAAGGATTACTCCCAGGTCGCCATGGATTTCACGGTAAGGATGGCAAGAGACCAGCAAGCTCCCTGACATGGAATTCAGACGGTAACACGGTTTCGAGCCAGGAAGCTTCTTGGCTTGTGACCTGGATCGCTTATATCTTGAAAGTCTATGCTAACTACCAATATCCAGATGCTTCCCAGAAGCTGAGAGATCATCTTAGCTTACCCACTTAAAGATATATTTTATTGTCAGGTGCACATCGTAGAAAACAACAACGGAAACTACCTCAGCGCCGGGGAAATGCCACTTCCGACTCTCTATTTTATGATGGCTTTTATTTTTTTTCTTTCTGGATGCTTTTGGGTCTTCATTCTGAAGAATAGCAAGTAAGACTCTCAGTTCTACTTCAAAACAGGATAAGGGAGTCGAACTCTATTATCTTTTCCTTTTCCTTGATGTCTAGGCATCCGGTATTCAAGATCCACACCTTGATGGTCGTACTGGTTTATCTGAAGTCGCTCTCGCTTCTATTTCATGGAATCAACTATCACTTTATTCAAGTGAAGGGTGAGCAGGTAGAAGCCTGGGCTGTACTCTACTACATCACCCACCTGTTGAAAGGAGCTGTACTCTTCATCACAATCGTTCTCGTCGGCACGGGATGGACGTTTATCAAGCATATACTCAACGATAAGGATAAGAAACTCTTCATGATCGTGATACCATTACAGGTGAAGACTTTGCGATCCACGGATCAATCTGTTGTAGTGGATTTCGATAGATCTGGGAATGAGAATCGTTTCCTTGCAGGTATTGGCAAACGTAGCTGAAATAATAATTGAGGAAAGCGAAGAGGGTGACATTGAGCACAAGACGTGGCGCGACGTCTTTATCCTTGTGGATCTGCTCTGCTGTGGCGCCATACTCTTTCCCGTTGTGTGGAGCATCAGACATCTTCAGGAGGCTGGTCACACCGATGGCAAAGCTGCTGTTAACTTGAGGAAGCTCAAACTCTTCAGGCACTTTTATATAATGATTTTCTGCTACATTTATTTCACGCGGATCATCGTTTATCTTCTGAAGATCACTGTACCATTCCAATACGAGTGGCTGGATGAAATGTTCCGCGAGATGGCGACATATGTATTCTTCGTGTTGACTGGTTACAAATTCCGACCGGCATCCGCGAATCCCTACTTTACTCTAACAACCGAGGAACTCAGCCAGGATGATGATGACGAGATGGACGTTGTGTAAGTAATTCCCCCGTGGTATCTTTTAGGAATTTTATGACGGGATTTTGTTTTCTTTTGCGGCATTTTCTTGAGTTTCCATATTCGCTCTAACATGACGATCGCAGTCTCTTTTCTAGCGCTTCCGGCGTCAATGGAGCCACCGAAGGGCTGACCAAGGTAAGCAAAGCTACCAAAGTTATAAGGCCGATGACTTCTGAGGTCCCCGCTACCCAAGAGGAGAGAGATAATCTTCTGACCAAGACCGAATCCTCTCACGAGTACGACTGAGGGACTACGATGATCCACTACTAGAAAAGTAGGATGCGTTATGTGATAGTGCGCGAGTGTGCTGTGCTCTCAATTGGACAGTTTGAAATTCCAGCAATTTCGAATTTCAAGAATGTGCGTGAGAGAATGTTATGAGCGTGCGCAAAAGAAGGTCCAAGCGACTCGGTATGACTGATATTCAGATATTATGAGAGAATCTAAGTGGAACCCAATGAAAATCAATGAGAGGTCACGTTTAATGTAATTCCGAGACTGTATAACAGATCGTCATTCACTTTTCTAACTTTTATTATGTTAAGATCCGAAGTCCGTAATTACAGAAGATCATAGGTTAGCTATTGAAAAGAAATGTAACACCCCCGGAAATAAAAGGGACCTTTTGAAATGATCTCAAACTTCTAATTCGAATCAATTACGTAATCAATCGCTTATCCAAATCGAGTGACGTAGACGAGGTTATATCTTTGAACGTTTATTGTGGATGATTGATCTTATTTAATCTCCCCCACGTGTTTCTACGAATATACTAAATAATATATCTTTGCTTGTATCTTATTCGTGTCACTTCGACCGCTGATTTTTCCACGTTCCCTTAGGATCTCATCGAAAATTGCGCAAAATGCGCAGTCAGTCAATGCTCAGTTTTTTTTTGTTTTCTATAAGTAGCGAAAGAAAAATTGCGAATTCCTCGATTACAATGTGTGATAGAAGCCGAAAAAACTTCAGAAAGAAAAAAAGTATAATCTTTTGTAGTTTCTCGCGTGTGAGAGGTAGAATGAGAGTAAGAGATATAATTGAAATATAAATATTGTATATCAAAATAATCTGACCGAATTTAATTTTAGATATCGTTGATTGATTCGAAACCTTTAGGATTCTTTCGGAAGTCCGAACGGATCTTCCGGAGCCATTGAAAATTAAGTGAAAACTATCAAGAAATATAAAAAAAAAAAAAGTATCACGCATACTCACCAGCCTATAGACATTTAGGAAAATACATTTCCATTATTTTCTCTCTCCCCGTGACCAAATGCTTCTCAATGTTCCATTTTAATTTCTGGCAACGAATACGAAAAGACACCCTTAACGTGGCGATTATGTGATAAATGGTACTTTAATATTTATTCATCAAGCGTTAATCTTAATGCATGGAAAGATAACGAATAAACAGACGTTACTTTCCTTCTATTGTTCTATCGATACTCTGGCTACGAGATAACGTTGCAATGGACTACGAATAATAGAAGCAAGTATCAAAAGGCAATCACGATAAGGAAGAACAAGAGAGGGAAAAGAAACTATTACATACTCTAGAGATATTACATACTAAGCTATTACCGTTAATTATAGCACTATTATTACCATTATAATTAATATCACTATGTCACTACTATACTATCTATTCGTGTGTATTCTCGGCTAATACCACGGAAAGTGGGGTTGACAAATAAAGTGGATATTTTTATGATATACTTAACATTTTATTCCTCTCGTATCGGTCCATATTTCGATTCCTGGAACTTGAGATCAAAATTTCTAAAATAATGAATTACCTCAAAGTGTATCGGTCACTGGTACCGCCGAAAATTTTTTTCGAAAAATCAGTGAATAGCTCATAATGCTTCCAGGCTGGTTTGAATTGATCTCAGCTCTCATTTTCCGACACAAGGAGCGCCCGCTGCAATACGTGATCGACATTGAAAAATATAACGCTAAGCGGGGAGGTCGTATGACGAACCTGACAAGAAAGTCCTTCAACATCGCAGCAACGACCAGGATCATCCCTTCGAATCTTTTTCTCGTTCGACGACTTTTCGCAACGCAATCGTTTCAAGAAAATCGAGTAATTGAAACCGCTCGGATCGCGTTACGTGCCTGGAAAGGACGACACGACGCCATTGCAGGATTCATCTGTCTCTGCAATTGGTAAATTCCATCTTGACGTTTATGCCGTGCAACTTGTTCTTTTAATTCCGAGGATAATTTTCAAGTCGGCTTACGAGGGACTTTCCTTTTAAATTTTATTATTTAGCACAGTCGGCGCTATACCCGGTGGGCATATTGCACGGGGGTAAGATAATACCGGGTGAGAGTACGTCACATAAATTAATTAGTTGGAAATTAATAAAGCAAGACTTTAAGCTGTCCTATATTATTTCATCGGCCTGACAATCGCCACGTCGTGTTCAACGATATTACTTCCGACCTTTTCTCTTTCCACCCCTCTCCCACTCTCGTTCATCCACCCGAAAACCTTGATGCACAAACAATTAGAGATTCCCAAGATACAGTTCGTATTGGAGTATCTTTATCCCCATTAAATTCGCATCTTCGCCCAAGCTTTTCTGTTGGTGCGTCATTAGGATCAATCTTCATTAAACCACGGGAACTAATATCGCTTATTAAATTAGATACCCACGACTATGGTTCGTTTACAAAACTATATGCAGCAAGTTAATTCATTTTTTTACTTCCCCTCTTCATCCCTTGCGACTTCCTCCAAAAACGAGAATATCAGTCACTTACGAGAATATCAGCTGTTCAAGGACACGTGGACGCAAAGTCGGAATTTCTAAGGGACGGATCAAAATGAAAGAGGCTTTAGCCATGCTTCTCAAATTCTTCTTTCGTACATCCACTCCATCCTCGTGTCGTGTCTTATGGTGAAAATGATAGGAGAGAAGATTCGAGCTGCGAAAATCAATATTCTTTTGGTCTCTCACTCGGACGCATTAAGGAGCGGCCGGAACAAACGAATCGCCGCGTTTGAACTTTGCGCTGGAACTGAACTTCCTGGAAACAGAGGCAGGACGTCGCCGTGTAACCCGACCGGAAGGCATCGCACCGTACGGAAGGCAGGTCTGCGCCCACGTACGAGTATCTTCACGTATCTAGCCATCTATCCAATGATCAATGTATCCAGCTACGTGCGTCCCCTCGCACGGGTGTCTCTTTCCCTGCATGTACCATAGCCATCTCACACGTGCACGTCCCGTCCGTCCCTGTATGTTGGAATTGCGCATCGAAATTAACGGCTGAACGTCAAGCACAATGCACCAAGAGTAGCCTGAGTGCATATAGTGCATATAGTGCATATAGTGCATATAGCAATGTGCACTCGCTTGACACCGAATTATGCACCGTGTGCCGTTCGCCATGCAAGGCTGCTTCATTAGCGAACGTGAAGCATCCCTACCAAATCTGTAACAATCTGTAACAATCTGTAACAATCTCTACCAATCCGTATCGTCGACAAGTCCCCTCGTCAAACCACGATATATCCGCCCGCGACGTGTCCACCTAGCGGATACCAGTAGAATCAATCGTCGCGTCGCCCTTTCGTCGTCCTTTGAGGCTTCGAGCCTGCGAATTTTCGAGATTGGATATCCGAACTTTAATATATCCTCTATTCTACGCGAGGGACGAGGGACGAGGTAGTTTTGTAAGAAAGGAACGGAACTTCTGGAATTTTCCTTTTATATAACAGCGAAGCTTTATGGGGATTTTAGCTCGTTTACGCGACCAGCCTACATCGTAAGGTAGGACTAATTGATGTCCATATTCTTAACACTCCACCCCACCCTAACCGTTTTCTTTGGAGACTACGAGGGTTATAACGTTGTTTAGATTTTTTGCTGGGGTATGATGGCATATCGCCCCACCCTCTGCGGTGGGGGGGCACGATTTGATGGAGCGACGCAAAAAGATGGGACAGTGCTGGTAGCTGCTTTGAATTATCGTAGAAAAAAACAAACAGGAGAAGTGATGTAAAAAACGATCTTTGGATAGTATAATACCGACGTTTTGGGGCCTCGAACAGAGGATGAGATGAAACATCAGTTTCCTAAGGCCACCCTTGAGTATCAATCGACGCACGTCTATTCCCTGTGGGAGCTCGCTTTATTTATTAAAGACCATGCAGCGGGAAGATGGGGGTCGTTCCTTACAATGTAGGCCACCACGGGTTCCATAATGTAATTTAATTGAATAATCGAACAAATCAATTTTTACGCATTGCGCAAAATATGCTTTTGACAGCAGAGGGTAGTCTTTTTTTTTTCGTATTTTTTTTTTTATATAACTACCTACCCATTTTTCAGTTTTCTTATTGTTCGTCCCTCTCTATATTTCCTGCGTGTCAAATAATTTGAAGAATATTTGTAAAAACCATTCTTAGGAATTTGCACCCCTAGCGTTTGTAAACAGGAAACGGATGCTCCACGGTTTCACGGACTATCGAATGCTAACAACCCTTTATCCCACCCCCTTGCCACCCTGACAACGCGTCCCGCTTTGGCTGGACAAGAGGAGGCGTAACTTTGACTCGGAGTTGAGTTTACGATCGGCGTCAATCGTTTGCGCATCCCGGAAGTCGGACGCGGGCCGGATGAGGGCGTAAAAGAAAAAAATTAAAGTTTGTCACTAACCTCGTATAAAAGTTAGCGACCTGGCGACCGGAAGTTAGAGCCGCAAGTACGGAAGAACCATTTTCCCAGATATCGGGTGTGGGTCATTAAGTAATATATTTCAGAGATATGAAATCTTCAAAGAGAGAGAGAGAGAGAGAGAGAGAGGGAGTAAAGTAAATTAGAGTATATTGAGACTTATTTGATCGCAGACTTACTGCTCCCATAGAACCATAGAAAGAATAGAGAAGTCTCTATAGAAAATTTATACATACAGGTAGGGCCTATTCAGCCATTAACAGTTGCGATAAGGGATGCCTCTCAATGAAGAAAAGCCAGGGATGGGTGTTTCGAAAAAAATCAACGGTCAGAAAAAATCTTGAGGTTACAAAAATTCATCCTCATTCACACGTTATTTCTGTATCATTGAAACGGACCCACCTAGCGCTCTTCTTCAGTTGACGCAGAAGGTGTAGTTATCTCAGGTAGTAGAGGAGTTCCAAAAATAAATTCAGGTCACGATAAAGAATTTCTTATAGGTAACAGTGCGAGTAGGAGAATCACGAAGTGCGTCAGCCCGATTGGGGTCGCGACGTGTTGCTAAGGTTGGCCTAAGCCGAAGCTCCTCGCCGAAGAGCCAAGGAGAGAGACAAAAAATGAGAGAGGAGACGGTACGAAAATAAATACGACTCGTTAGAGAGGCAAGTGCGCGAGTGTACCCACGCAATTTTCTGATAAGTCGTATCTCGTACGAAAAAAAAAAAAAAAAAAAAAAAAAAATGTTAAACATAGATACCCAATGACTAAGTACGTAGGGGTACAATACGTCTTGACTGTTTTACGTATTATTCATATGGTGTATACATACGCACAGGACTCGTTATTCGCACAGCCATCATGCTGGACAACGATAGAGAAACCTCTGTACGATGGCAGTACACTTTCTTTGCTTAACTTGCCGTTTCTTTATACTGATGGAATTTTCTTTTAGGAATTCAGCCAGAAAGTTAATCTCTGTGATTCCCATTCTATATTAAGTCAAACGTACGTTAAAGGTCCAAGTTAAACGCACAATTCAGACTTGTTATTTTTTTTGGTGCTAAACCAAAACCAGTTACCTGCCAGCTGTCAGGCCAACTCATTCAGTCGTGACGTCATGATAAGACTCTTGCACTGTTATAGATAATAGAGAACAGTGGACAAAGAGCAAAAGCAAAATGGAAGCGGAGTAGGGATAGCTAGGAGTAAAGGTATAGATGAAAGAAGAGGAGCATCTTCTCTGCTTCCAAGAATATTTCCTACCATCCAGGTGTAACGTCGCGACGCCTCTCGTCCCTCTTCTGGATGCAAATATTCGCTTCCATTTGCCGGCTCGTGTTTCTCGACGGGATTACGCGGATTAAAGGAAGTGCAGTAATAAAATAGATTTACAGTGTATGTTCGTCGTGTATAGAGTAACACCGTGTGTTGCTGGCTGCATCGTCTGCACTTTTATGGTGGCCATAAAGCAACCTGCTTTGCCACCGAATCGTGTCGCGGTCGAGATTCCCCCTAGAGGCGCCGTGTTGGATTCTTTTAATTTTTTCCCCACTTTACATATTTTTCTCTTCTTTCATTGATTTTATTGGTCGCCTGAGATTTTTTGAGAAAAATGGAAACGACTTTCCTTAGCCGTCAATATACACGCAGAACTTCGTAAAATTGCAGCAGGTCACCGGAGGCTTTCGTGGGTTTATCCGACGTCAAAAAAAAAGTCACCCTTAACGCCTGAAATTGGAATTTAAAGTTTTCACGGAGTCGAAATGACTTCTTTGCCAATCGAGACGACAAGACGTAAGTCACGTAGCCTCGGTTTGTTAATTAACAAGTCCCAGAATAACGCGTAGACTTTGATAAAGATTTTGAAAAAAAGGTAAAAGAAGAAAAACATTCAAGAGGACGACGAAGGGCCGACGCACAAACAGGTAGAAGCTAGGATCATGTAATTTTGTTAAAAAATTCTGACGTGTAAAGGTATTAAAAATATTTTTCAAAATTTTAATTACAATATTTACCAAAAAAGAATTCGTATACTCAATAAGGCTAAGCTTTCTTTTCAGGTCATCGGCACCCGTTTCTATTGTCTCTCAATTCTGTTAACGCAACAAAATCCTCCTGTCGAAGGCACTTTTCCCCGTGGCATCCCTTATTCGATATATTCCTCTCCATTTGGCATAACGATGGATCGTACAGATATCATTTTCTTCTATAAAAGGTGTTCATAAACTTTCTCGATGGCCTGTACTTATTGCAGGACGACGTCCTTTCATCAGGACCTCAGCGCCAGCTGCTTTCGTCGAACGAACTACCACGGGGGTGTGCGTTGTTCTTTTTTTTATTTCTCGAATGAAGTACAGGGGGAGGTATCGCTACGAGCAGTACCAACCCCCACTATTTCTCCAAGTCCCTCTACCGCCCTTCCAGTCATTCACCGAGTCATTCGGTTAAAAAAGTCTATCGAAACGAAACATCTAGCGCTACGTTCAAACGCGAAATCACTTTCTTCGACTTTATTCTATTATTCAATGTAACCATACAATATCAGTATACTCAATACCCAGTCTGTCTGTTTTCCCATCGGCTATCGATCTGAAATTAGTCGATTCACGTAGGTGGTAAAAATAATATTATAACTGTCTGGAAGGCATTAATGACAGGCAGTGTACCTGTTCCATTCGTCGAAGCGTCTACTTACCGACCCGACTTAAGTTTCCACCTACTCGTTCTAGGAGTCCCCCCTCCGCCCTGTTCACGGGGAGGACGGTCGGAAATCCTATTGAGGGATGGGGATGGCAGACACCCGGCGCAATCTCTTCTCAAAAGAAATTTCGATGTTAAATATCAAGCCCTATCGCTATCACGGCTCTTGGATTCTTGAATGCATAGCAAATATTTGTCAGCTAGTTGATAAATCCTCGACGTCTTACATCAGGTGGCCCAGACGAAGTGGTTATCCAGACGTCTTGACCGTCCTGAAGGACGTCTATCCAAAAATTAATAGGGGAAGGTTAATTGTAGAGAGAATTCATAACAATAAGCCTTGGGTCGCGGGGGATCAATCGACCACCATCACTTTGTCTAAGGATAAAGGGATGGGAGCTCCTGGGTCCTGGGGATGGATTTCACGAAGGGAACAAAGTCGATCGCCTACGCGAACAACCATTCATACATTTCATATATCATATATATATATATATATATATATTCGTATATTTTGGTTGATACCTGTCTCACACGTAGATACGTTTATTTTCTTCTCTCTAGGCAAACACGTATTATTCCAAAGGAACGAAATGACCAGCCCGCGGCAACTTTGCGCTTTCCTCTGGAAACTTTCGAGAAATGATAATGCTTTATTGCACTCTTTTGGGGGGCAAATCTGTATCCTCAGAATACAGCGTATTTCCTACCTCTCGTATAAAGGGAAGATACTCCTCAGCCAGGAATAGATGAATTCCTGTTACACCTATTCCTGCTATTCCTGCTCTTCCTGCTATTCCTGGATAGAGTATCCACCCTTTACCAAGTCAGTCCTCGATACCGGCTGGGGGAAGTCAGTCATAGTCATCGGGGTAGTGTATTAGGAGCCAAGTGTGTGCTTTCTCGTTCCTCCTGAAGATTCAGTCTGGAGCGACGATGCTCAGGGTTGAGACGAGCTCTTAATCTGAACGTCGACGAGCTTCCCTTATCGAATGGCCTTAGGCGGGGGAAGCCACCCCAGGAAAGAATCTTGGGAAAGGGACAATAAATAGAGGGAGCCAACGAGGATGGCTTTTATTTTTTATTTTTATTTTTTATTTTTTCTTGCTATCATTGCTACCCGCAAGTTATACACGACGCGAATAATAATCTGTTTAATCTTGCTAATTAGAGAGTCGATCCTGCTTATTATTTTTATCTCCTTTAGGGTGCACGGGAGATGGCAACTGTTAACTTTTCCCTTGTGGGCAAAACACTAGCGAGGATAGACCTTATCGTTCCGGGAATTAAGATAGCTCGTGACGCCTAACGGGGTTTCGGAGAAATTCAGAAAGGTAGGACATTCTGCAGGTATCTAAGTAGCAGCTGATCAGAACGCATTGAATCATAGGAGTAAAATAGTAAAGATCTTGACTAGGGGGTGGTCGAAATAATTCATTGCTTTAAATTTGTCTTTCAGTAGGAAGCTAAAGGTAGGTTCGACGTTAATGGAGTGTAGTCGCCGCACCCCCAACGAATCCGAATTTGCACGTAAGGAACAAAGAGAGAGAAGGTTCCTGACGGAGGGCTGATTCGGGCCTGCTATTGGCTCAAATAGCTCTAAAGGATCGCGTGGGATTATTTATGCCTCGTAAAAGCTTGTCATTGGGATTCATTTTTTTTAATCTCCGCTGCTTCGACCCCTCCTCCCTTTCGAGAGTTTTGTTTGCGTCACACAAGCGTACGTGCTGAGGGGTGGGTTTGGGTATACCTAAGATAGACTATGTTACTGCAAAAAATGAAGCCGCCCTGTAGATTATTCAAAGTGGACTATTACGCACCCCGTTAAAAACTTGGACTATCGTCCTATGGATGCATATTATATAAATTTCCTGTTGCGTTTCTCGGGGACAAGCCAAAGGGGGTTGCAGCCAGGCAGGTAATGCGCGTAACCGGTAAGGCTCGCAAAGTCTTATCAGTATTCGTCGCGTAGCGTGCTGCACTTGATAAGCGCATTGAGTCCTGGGGGAGGAAATCTCGCGGCCCCGGGACAATCTAGAGTTCAGAGCCCAGAGGCACGCGTAAATCGGGCACCTAAAGCCTGTCTAGACTGCGACTGTTTCCGCGCAGAGCCCTTGTAGACCTTGTAAACCGCGTTCGCAGAAAATACAGCTCGGATAAGGGATGATAAAATCGCTCGGTGCACTAAGCCGTAGGTAAAGCTCAGCAGCGAGACCCAGACTATGACGTCTACGCGAGCGTGATGGATGTTTTGTGTTTCTGATAGATTTTATATTGAATTTCCTCGATATAGGGAATCTTTAGGGGTGCTACCCTCCCTTGGGCTAAGGGAGGGTCCTATTAAAGTCACTATACGGTCACCGTGAACGGGGCAGTCGGGGAATTATGGAAATTTTAAACTCGGCTGGACACGAGATTGGGTTATTATTCTATGGACCAGGAGAGATCCTTGGCTTTTTGCAGTACAGTAGACTATAGATGTAACGGAGTGGTCCATGGAGTCTCTATGGTTTCCGTTACGTAGGCAGCTACCAGCGATAAATTTCAATTTGTCCCGAGGTAACGGCGTCTGGCCATATACATATGATATAACATATGTCCCATACGTGCGAGGAATCGTCACGATGCTCGCCACGCATTCCTCTCACAAAAATTACGTTTATTCTATCGACGCTTGGTGTTTGAATTTCAATTACTTCACTCCCGTTTTCCCAATCGAACGACTTTACTTCAACTCCCCGAGATATTTTTCCGCTTGGATTTGTCTGCCAATCACGTTGCAGAACTTTTTAGAGATACTAAAAATCATAGCCTACCGTTGGCCTCGGTTAATTTATTTTATTTCGACGATAAGAGTCCTGTCAGACCAAATGCTGTAGCTTTCCCTTTGAGAAATAGCCCGGAAATCATTCGCACGTAAATCAGTTCTACGGCGAAGGCTCGTTTCGCCTAGTACGAAAGTCACGGTAAACATCGAGCATTTAAACGTTTACTTTTTCCAGCAGATTTTTTTCCACGCGAATTGTCATTCGATGTTGATTGAGAGATTTGAGAAATTTGAGAAATTTGAGAAAAGAAAATTAATTGATTTCATTTGGAGTAAAACCGATGTCTACCAGCGTGTGAAAGACAAACTCGAAAATGCTCCAGACCGCAAGGGGTTAAAGGGCACGTTCTTAATTATCGGCCGTCGCGTTTTAAACGCATGCGTGCCAAGTGCGATTCTCACCGGCGTCGGAGTTTCGAGGACGCAAAAGCAAAGTCGCTTCAGTCGGCGCCGCGACGCGACGCGTCTCCGTCGAACGAAGCTTCCGGTCCGTCGCCGAATGGCCCGGTTTACGAGTGACACTATGCAATGTGCTCGTATCACGGCGTGGACCAGATCAAAAAATAAAAAGATCCCTAATAGACCTAAGCAGCACATGGCATACGCTGAGAAAAAGAAAACAAACAAAGATAAAATCCCCTAGATAGATCAATAGTGGCGAAATCTATTTTTCATTCATTTCAAAATTTTCTTTTAATCGGAAGACATTCCAAAATCACTACGTGCAAGTAGCGTCCCCGGCTACTATTGTCCTTGTGTTATCGCTCCTGCTTATCAGCCCTCAAGCAAGTGTCAATATATATTTATTATTGTGAGTGATCCAAGAGACAGGTAATGCAAGATTGAGTTATCTTCTTGGTACTAAGAGAAGAAGAAAAGCAAGAGAGGCAGCTGGTGTATGGACCATCCTAAGCTGGGAAACATCTTCTGGGAAGTTGATCTGGACCAAGGTATATGTATGTATATAAGGATACGCTCACAATACTTGGACCAATATTACTCTTGACCGAGTAATCCGACTTCCGGTTCTTTCCAAGTTCCAGGATATTTTCCCGGGTTATCTTTGAATCAATGAAATTACCAAGTAAAGGAACTTTCTACTATTCACAATAGTTATACAAGGTGCGGTGGATGCATCGTCTTCCGTCTGCTGATTTACTGGTCTTTCCGGTTTCCTGGTTCCTCGACCCAACCAGGTTCCTGATTGCCGCAGGGATAACAAACCCAAAGAACTCGATGAAGTTTTCTCGTTTTCTCGTTTTCCAAAGCACTCGAGTCTCGCGTGCGCCACTTGCAAGGAACGTTGAAAATGGTGGAAAGCACCGAGTGCACCTACAACTGATTAAATTCCCTAGTACCGACGATAAAGCACACCGAAGCACGTTTTAATAATAAACGGGACTTAATGGGAGCGCGATTAATTTTATTGGCTTATATCGTTCAATGAGATTACTGAGCAACTAACAATATTTGACTTTCTACAATTTTCCTCAAATCTTTTGAGAACACCAAGTCTCTTCCCACGAAGCCTAAGTATATTCATTTTGCAATAAGAGACCCACCAAGCCCACAAGAAATAACATTTATCCACGTAAGTTACATTATTTTTCAAATAACACCGAGGTCCAATGTTTACACACCAATAATTCCAATTTTCGTTCTTTCATCTGATTCAGTCAGAACTTCAGTCTTCGATTATCCTGAGATCACAGGACCAGATGAAGAACGGCTGTACGGATGGTGAAACGCGCTAAGAATATTATTGGATTATACATTGAGAAACAGGCAATGGAATATTTTAGTCCGATCCACCTGAAAGGATCCATAACCGTAAGATCACCCTGTATATGTTTGCGAATGCTCATCCCGTAATAGGGTTTCGGTAACGAACGGGTTGGCTTTGTAATAAATGCTGATTAGTCAAGTTAATACTACAACAGGTATCATTGGATACTACCGTATACTTCGAACACACGGTATATACCTGTATGCTGCCATAATGGATTTATTGATCTCTGAGCATATGGCAAACACACACACACACGTCTGGAGATCAATTGAATTGGAGGGGCTAGGTATTTAATAGTATCGGCCGATTGTTACAATTTCGACCCGAAGCAAAATGTCGGTATATCACCTGACGCGTGTTCAGCCGTGCGTTAATTTCGAATTACATCGGAATTCGGGCCTCCGACTAAATTATCATTTGTTACGCAGCATCCAGCCAAGAGATATCGAACCCCAGGAGCATAGTCACATATAATTCAGACGTCCAGTCAGACGCCGGGATTCCAGGACGGAGTTAAAAGGTCTCCGAAGCCCCTGATTAGCGTTATATCTTTCGCTGACAATTTTGGAAAATTGAGCACGTCTGAGTCGTTATCAGAAGATCCTTCCTAGTTAGAAAAAATGGCTTTTTGCGTAAATTAATCTAGATTACCTGAACGGTTTTTGAAGCAGGGGGTTATCAAATAATTATCTAATATGCTGGGGATGAAGTTTCGTGAATTTTAGAATTTCAAAGAAATAATTGAAGTTACAATTTTACAATAATTATTTTTAAGGATCACGTGTTCCTCGAAGAAGGGTTAAGGTCGGTTTCTAACAAATTTCTGCACCCCTGCTGACTTAACTTTTAAGAAAGTACCAGATTAAGGGTGAGAACGGGGTGTCGATAATCTTTCACCGTAAATCAAATTAACCAGTGGAATGTGTCAACAGGACATTCAGTCCCCTTTTCACTCTATGAAGCGAACATGTCGCAAATCAATTTCTCTGCCCCAATGTAGGCTGGCATCGAAAACAAAATATTGAAATGGGCAAAATATGTGCTGCAGTTCAGTCTGAGAAAGAAATTTCGTATTTTGCCTGATAATTTTAAAGAAACAGCCCCTTCCGATTATTCCGTCCGGCTTCTTGTTCGCTCAGCGAATGCCGAGCAAATTGGGGAAAGACTCGGCTGTGCTTGCCGAAATAAGTGAGAAGTTCCTTCGTTACGGAACATTAATTTCGCCCAAGGGTGGGCGATTACATTACGCGTAGATTCACCAGCAACACACCATTCAAGGGCTGTCCACATTCTGGAGCATGCTACAGAGTGCTACAGGCTGTTACAGACTGCTGGAGGCTGCGAAGTACTACTGATTCGTTGAATTCAAGTAGAAACGAGGAACGGCTAACCGGCGGACCAGCGAGGACGTTTGTGACACGTTAATTTATTACCGTGCCGTTGACGCTAAGCGAGAAATAATCTCAACCCCCATTAACATTACCCTTTTCTTTTTTTTGGAAGACGAGTAATTACATTTTTTCACTAGTCGTACCACTGGTCATTTTATTACGATTTTACATGAAATTTCAATTATTAAATTCATAATATTAATCGACAGATATTAATTGATCTTCATTTTGCAGTCGATCAATTAATCGACTTTTACTTTTAGATTGAGAGGACATTTAGTTTTTTATGGGTTGGTCATTTTCGGAACTCTTATCTTAAGTCTAAGGAGTAAGTTTCTTGTACCCCGCTAGGTGGTCGACTTGCATATCTACATATAGATGGACCCTAGTCTTAACATGTACGAATCTTCTTGCTCTGGACCAGTGGCGAATATTTGACTTTCCAACTGGCTCCTCTTGCTACCTAATCTATATGGAGTCTGTCCTACAGTGTTTTTGCTCTGGCAATCGGCTCGTTGATTTATGCTCTACGAAATTATGGGCAAAAAATAAGCGTCCGTCGACTAACAATAAGGCTTTTTTCATATTTCGTCAGACAAACAAACTTCCACATGCACTTTTTGAATGAAAATCACTCTGAATTCATTGTTGACTGACGAAGTAATCGAATGTTGAAATCGCAAAAAAAAACTATATTGAAAAGTAAGTATTAGTTTGATTGAAAGGAATGTTCCATGGTAAGAAATCAGTCGGATAAGAAGGTGGAATCGAAAGGCAAGGAATGATTGGAAAAGGAACGGGGTCCATTCGGCAAGACGGAATACCTTGTGAAAATATATACGTATATACACCCAGTGTAAATTTCATGGAGAATTCCAGGAATTTGTCTAGGGATTTACATTCCCAATTCACTTGGTGACACTACATAAATTTCTTCTAGCTTTCGCGAAACTTCTACAGGTAACATTTCCATTAAGATCAGTCTCTCCAAAGGTTATCCTTATTATCCCATTTTTCACTGCTATTACATATGTGCGTATCTCTATATTTCTCTCTGTATTTGGTTACCTAGCGTGCCGAATACCCGCTGGACAAATTCGCCGTTCAAGCCTCGTACGCACGCGGATACCTTCTGCCATTCGTTACTCATCTCTTGTCCCACAAATAATAGGCAAGGAACGCAAAGAGAGCACACTATAGATTTATAGAAACATTCGCCATACACAGAGACACAGAAGATAGCGCAGTTGAAGTACTTTGGGTAGATAAGGAGGATTCCTGTTATACCCTGTCTTACACAGATTCCACCTTCGATTCGCAGGATCTAATTTCCAAGCAGATTCATACTGTGTTCAATGAACACCAAGAAAGGACTAATCGTCAATCTTAAAGTACCTTAGATTCTGAATTGAGAGTGTTGACGTCTAAGCTGATTGACACTTCGTTAAATTAACACACTGTGATTAGGCAATCCTGCGTACAGTCCCAAAAGAAAATTAACATTTACGAATAATACAATATTTTCAAGTAACAACAATTGAATTGAGATTTTCAAATTTGTAGGATCTCATTCTATTTTCGTATTTTATTGAATGAATTTATATTTCACAATAAAAAAATCGTTATACACATATAATCCTATACCAAGCGAAGGTTTCCGCAAAGCGTACAATAAATTCAAACGAATAACACACTCCGCAGAATCCATTCGCGTGTGCGCCGCTTGCATTCGGGAACGATGATCCCATGTTTTCTACACAGGAAAATCCAAATATTCCGAATTTCGTTTGTGCACTCCTGCGGTAAATATATTGTGCTAGATGGAAAAGCGACGCTACAGTATACGATTCTACTTAATGCCCTCCATTTTCTTTTATTCGTACACGAGTAGGAGACGAACAACTTTTTACAATGGCGTCGGGACGCCGACGTCGTTATCTCTTCGTTTCGATTTCTCCAATTTAATGGATCTACCGAGATCCCCTATCGGCTCCCTAAACTGATTTGCGGGGGGTTTTTTAAAAAATGGAAGGCAGAAAAATAGAAGCAAAAGAGGAAGCAATATCAGCCAAAGCATTACGTAGCTCGCTATACATATAGAGGAGTGGAAGTGTATCATCCTGACGCTGTACAATGTTATTTTCCCAGGAGAAAAATCCACGACGTAAAATCCCCATTATGGGGGTAAACTGGTTCTCAATATTTATTTTTAATTTCCACGTTCTTTTTTTTTAATTAAAATTATACTTGTCCGACGCGCAAATAATTACTCGTAACGATTGAAATTTCTATTGGCCAATGAAAATGATCGTTGTACGGAATGCAAAGGCGAAGGTGCAGAAGGCAGCAGGACGTACGGGACGGCGACGACAGGCTCGGAGATCGGTACGATCGCTTGCGAGTGCACGATCGTAATTAGCCTAATTACCTTCGTTATCCATCCATGCGCCGGCTACGCAATCCGCGTTAATTAACTTGAGCAAGTTCCGCCAAGCTGAATATGCTAATTTGTCTAGTCTGTCTAGGGGTACTCGTAGTCGTAGTAACGACTTCATGTATTCGCGAGCTTCTGCGAAAGTTTCAGCACCTTGGCCGGACAGCATTACTCTCCATGTCACACGAGGTGCAATAATTGCAAAGCTCGCTTCACCTCAAGACTCTCCAACAGACTCTGACTAATCTACGGCAGCATCATCTTCGGGGATCATCTTCCCTAAAGAGGACTTCGCCGCTTTTCAGGGTTTCGAAACTAAAGTCTTAAGCACCACCTGGAGGACGTTAAATCTGATCGACAAAAAGTTTATTTACCTTGACAACGTGAGTTGCGAAGAAGAAGCAGGTGCTACCAGGTGGATGTATTCGTATTTTCTTAAGAGTCATGGACTTTCTAATACCAAGCTGCCATCGTCCTAAGTCACATCAGGAGCAGGGGGTCCGCGACTACAAAGTGGAAACCTTGGAAGCTCCAAGTTTGCGAGAGGTTTGGCTTCGGTGTTTCGAACAAATAATAATTTAGCAGTTAACTTCGGACGCTGTGAAATCTAACGGGGCGTCTTATAATTAGTCGTGCTTTCTTAAGCAATGCTAAATTCAGACTCGAGATATGAAGTCCTAGCGTGCTATAGGCGGAAGTTGTTTTGAAAGTCAGGATGAAGCGTCGAGGAGGGAAATTGAATTTTTGAAGCCGAATTAAATAAATTGACGAATAAACGACAGGAGCTCGGAAATAACACGAAATGGGTCACTCGGATGATCATGCTAATTCTGCTCGACTTTGAACCGTTTCCTTTTTCCTCTTGTCAAAGTCACATAGTCTCCTGCAGTTTTTCCTCAACTTAAATGTGAATTCAGCTCGCGACTCCGTCGCGAATTTGAATGCACAATATATTTGCGACTCGTCGAGTTCTGATTTACAACTCCAGGAACACATCCGTCGTGGCGCAGATGGCTCTGGAAACTTCTTCAAATTCCCAATGCCTACACGTCTCACAAAAATCTACCGTTCCGGCCCGGAAGTCACGTTTTCCTTTTTCCCGAAATTGAGGTTGCTCGTCGTCGCGAATTCACACGTCAGCCTTCCTACTCTCTTTTAACCCTTTGATTCGATCAGTAACCCTGTCAACACTGCCGGATCACTTCCGGTTTACTCGATACAATGTAGAATATCTTTTTTGCCCTGAATAAACATTCGTCAAAATTTCGTCACCGTCCTCAGTGTTGTTCAAGGAGGACGTGGTAAACCAATGTTGTTCTTTCCCCTCGTTCGCGAAGTGTCATCGCTTCGGCACGAAACAAAAGGAAGGATAATCGCGAAAAAGAGTATCAGCCACAAATGTCATTTCCTGAGGAAGTTGCAAAAGTATAGCGATCGTTCGTGATTACGTTATCAGATTTCATCTTAAGGCTCTTTTCATCCCTTGTCCCTGCTACTCTCCCCCCACCCGCAATTCGCACCCCGACACACCAGACTCGCCCACTCATCTCCACTCAAGGTAATCGCTCCTAGCAAAGGGGGTTGGATGGTCCCAACCACCCAGTTGCGATTTATCACGCGTCATATCAGATTTCCAGTAAATCTCGGAATTCTCCCTTCATTCTTACGGTGACAACGGTAGCAACAGTACATTCAGCTGCCACGCCATTTCTAGACTGGTCTTCCTATTATCCCGACCCAACCCTCCTTATCAATATGTGACTACAAATAAATAGACACTAACACCTCGACAGGAGCCTTGCGAGAATCCAGCAGGAGTTAATCCGGTCATCCAGTTCCTGGGTCAGCCTCCTGGACTGAACGGGACTGGCATTTCTGATTAGGTGCATTCCGTAGGGCGACTCAAGGACCATATTGAAAACTGATTACACAAATTTGGCTTGGACTGATTCAGCAACTTTCAGGGTTCCTCAACTATTTCATACTAAATATTACGCTAGAATTCAGTACAAAGTGTTATACTTCCTATTGTCGTTAGTCGGCAACTATCACTGTTCAAAGTTTCCTCTGAACGGGGTGAACGTCACGACAGCCCATGACCGATCAGGCTGACAATAACCCATAGAGGCTGATTAATAGCATAGGACGGTAATAACGGGAACTCGTGCTGATGGATGAATAGGGATTTATCTACTTTCGGCTTTTTTGGCGGTCATCCACTTTCACGACTTATGCAATTTTACCAGTAATTTTTTCAGTGTCGGATACCTTTTATTTCGCTGTTCCTCGTGCAGGAATTTCTGACATTTTTTCTACCATTGTTACGTCACTGCTATACTGTATATACTTGGATGCAAGCACGTGTATCAGTAGGATGGAACGGATTTCCTTTTCACAACATTTTCCATAAGAACATTGAAGAAAGGAAAAGGGTTAACCAGGGTTATTTTTGAAAAGCTCCTCAGATACTCACCAAGAGGATGGATGTACTCCCGAGTTACTCCTCTTGTGATCCTGGTGTTAGACGACGATGGAAATTCCGAGTCTTCTCTATCGAGATGCTGCTCGTAGCCCTGAGTAGCAATTGGAAAAGTTGAGTTCCTATAGAAATGCAGCTGAGTGACCGCGCCGGAGTACTTGCGGCTCCCTTGATAACCTCGCTAGTAATAATCGTTCAGTCTCCTCACGTACAGCTGACGGTTATACATACGTAAAGAGACGCGTGGTTACCTGGCTGGCTGGCTGGCTGGCTGGTTGGCTGGCTGGTTGGTTGGCTTGAGGGATAGATGAAAAATAAAGGTAAAAAGTGCTAAAAGGAAGCAACGTAGATCCACCATTCTTTTTTACTTGTCTTTTCGGATTGTTGACTTTTTATCCAGTTGAAAGCATCAGCTGCGTTTACAAGGGCTTGGGCCCAGCTGCGCCAAGAGAATATACACACGAACTGCCAGCCACTAGGTACTGCATGTGTAATCCAGCTTAATGGGATAGAAATTACGAGGTTTAAGGCCTGCGGTTACGTTAACCACTTAACCGGAAGTCAAGTCTCCCAGTCGTTCAGCTACCAGCGGCCAACGATTCTTTTTCGCATTAGGAAGACGTACAAGGCTCGCTGACTTCGGGTATAAAAATTGTTTTACACGAAAACATTTGGCCACGCGTGTTCCTGGATCAAATTCCGGGGTAGAGTGGCTAAGGGTAGCTTCCCCTCGAAAAAAAAAAGTCTGGGTTTACTCGTATTTTCGTCCTAATTATGAATTCTCACTCCCCCTTCTTTTCCAAGCTAAATTCATTTAATGCCCTAACTCCCTTAATTGCTGCTTTTTGTTTGTTTGTTTTCTCTTCCACGTGTCTTTGTCGTGAACTTGAGTTATATAACATCGTTACGTAATTTCTTCTTCACACGTGATCACTCCAGGTCGGCCGTATCTTTAAAAGGAAATTTTATTACTTCAATGGCGGCTGGATATTTTATTTTCCAAAATGAATTTACCGTAGGGACTTTTTCTCTTCGTCCCCATTTCGGTCAGGAGTCAAGGTTGACCCAGTCCCGTTAACGGGGACGATGCAGAAGGATACCAACGTCGTAAACTGATTTCCTGAGAAGCGGAGTCCTCGAACGATTTGCTTTTCTTCTTTCTCTCTCTTTTCTCATTTTACTACCTTCTCCTTCCTTCCTTCTCTAACCCCCCTGTTTTTCAAATGCGCCAAGACTATCGTATCCCATTCCGATTCAGAATGCACGTGAAATTTCCTCCTACCTTCCTCGACTCTCGTCGTCTTCTTCTTCTTCCTCCTTGGATTATCAAAACTTTCGTTTCTTCACTTACGACACAGGACTTCATACGTAGTCCGCTGTTACACTGGAATCAGACGTGTATTTTGCCGGACTCGATTTTCCACTATATTCGAATTATTCTGTGCTATTCCTGGAAATCTTTCTCGACCGGTTATCATATACTGATAAGGATATTTCCATTCTCTGTTTTCAGGTGCAATCGCCATTGCCATCGGTTTCCACCGGTGATATCCAGGAAGTCGAGGACGAACCTCGCTGAACTCATCCGCAAGATGCGAGCCGCGTTTTGCATCTCGTCGACTGCTCCTATTAATTCTTCGAGGATCAACGGATGGAATCCGTCGTGCAATGTTTATTAAAACTGCAGTCCTATCGAGCATTAAATACCCTGGACGTGGTTCGAATCAAATAATTTATCAGGACAATGAGTGCAACGTGATGCGTGTACGGTATGCTAAGCTACGGTATGCTCGAGTAATTCCTTGGACGATAATGAGAAGAAAATTTGTACTAATGAAATCGTTCGAGAGCGACTTCAAAATATTGAGATGCGAAACAATACAAGACGGAGAAACGTTGAAAATTCTCGAGGAAGAGGAATAAGGAGCAAAGGAGAAAGCATTATCTTGGACGCCGATATCTCGCAAGAAAAGAAAACAAAGTGCTCTACGACATTCGATATAAAAAAATTAATCGACACACTTCGGCGGATTTAATATAGTGAAGTATGAACGATGAGGATTCTACGGGAGTGGTAAGTCGTAGAATTGGTAAAAGTGAGGAGAAAGGAAGATCAAGAACAAGAGGAGACAAAAGCGGGAAGAATATATCTCCCGTGTACGTGGGGATGGGGGGGCAACGACGAGGGATGATTTAATAGCGATATACACGTGTAGCGTAGTACGGTGTCTGCGAAAGTGAAAAGAAAAAGAAAACTCGAATTCCGGCCCCTTTAGAAATGACGTAGGAGAGACTATTCAAAATGACCGATACGGAAAACCTAACGGAGGCCTCCATACGTTTGTGCCTGTTTCCGGACAATGACTCGATCTTGGAAGATCCAAGAACAGCAGCCGTTAGAAGAATCAGCTACGGTATAGTGATGCCAATAATTTGCTGTCTTGGAATAATTGGAAACGTCTTGAATCTCGTTGTTCTGACCAGACGTAACATGCGCGGCACTGCCTATATTTATATGAGGGGTGAGTAAGAATTTTTTATTAAATTATATATTATCCAATTTCTATACATGTATATATTTGAATGAGACACACAGTTAGCATGGATACCAACTGTACACGTGGCCAATGGTTACTGAGCAAGGCAGTTGGGAATAAAGTTATTCCATGTTTGCGTAATATAAGGCTTTGGGAAAATTCAATTACGTTACTTTGCACGCGATGCATTATCGACACTCGTTCCTTCGTTTCCTACATAAAAATACGATACGTAGGACACAGGTCGATCAAATTCGAATAGAACAGTCCAATGTGACGTCACGAATTCATTTTGTGATATTTATGTACAGATTGTCGGATAAAAGAAAAATGGATTTTTAGGAAAGGGATTTATATGAAATTATCTTTTTTTTCACGAAGAACGTATAGATTACCTGTTCCACGTTATTTTCGAGTTCCTCGACTTCCTATATACTGCTAAACTTATTGATGCGTAGACACACTCGATCTGTGCTCTCCATTATCTCTTCCCGGTCCCCATTTGCTCTTTGTCATGAGCGGCTTGTAAAAAGGGCAGATTAGCTCAGTAAGTAGTTCGCTTTAAGGCTAATCCGCAAAGGCCGCAAACACCCACGCTTGAGAATATTAATCTCGTCCTCGCAAATGCTCGTGGCACTCCTTTTATTTTGCTTTCGTGCAAAAGAATTACGTACATCCACCAAACGAGTTTTCGTACGCAAATTACGAGGAAGCAGAATCTACCGGATGGGCGTTAAAGAAAAAAAAAAGATAACACGAAGCTAAGTATAGAGTGACTCTAAGCTCTGCCACAGTATGCGAACAGTAGTTATTTACAGTGTACACCGGCTTATTCAGGTCAAATGTACCAACTGAAGTTAGCATCTCCATTTGATTCCTATTGTAGAATCAACTTCAGTTTGTGCGTGTTACTCGAATATCCCTATATATATATATTATATATAGCGGCTGTATACGGTAGCTATCGCGAAACTACTGCCAAATGGTCGGGGAACCGGCTGCTATTTGATGCGGGGCCAAAGTAATTGTGCTCAATTTGTACTTGCTCTAGGTACTCCACCTACAGTTACCTACAAACTACCTAACCAGGATACGAAGCGCATTTACCTCTCGTAAATAAATTTTCCTCTATATCTCCATTCTGGTCCTCCAATTCTTTTTTTATTATTATCTTTTCGACTCGTTATTTTTCTTACAATCTCTTGACTCTTGGCATCCCTCGGCGCAAAGCAACGTAACGCCTGATGGTGACCATAATAGTATGTACAGGACAGTTAGAAAATTGTCAAAAGATTCTATGCGTAATATTCATTCTGCGATACTAAATTCTGAGCAGCGGCATTTAGAGCTCGTGACGTAGGAATTTTTCGCTCCTCGTTACACCCTCGTGTACACTTATCACAGAATGCAAATGCGACGTCACCGAGTCAGCGAAGCGTGCAATAACGAAGTGATAAGTAAACGGAGAAGAAGGGATGAAAATTGTAAAGGGTGAACCTAGGAGAACACTTGGTTACGAGATACAGGGCAAAGATCATGTTGACAGCGTCATAGCAAAGTATCGCCAATACATAATGGATGTCGTCTGCGAGGATGAACCCCCTATCTCTTTCAGGGTAAGTCCTGTTGCAGCCAATTAGATGGAATCTCAAGTCGACTCGTTCCATGAGACGATTTCCCATTCCTACCCCCTGGTCCTCGATCTGAGCTACATTGGGATCCGTGCTTGGAGGCTGGGACTTGGGGGGTGCAGATCAGGGCTGGGGTTCAGGAATTCTTTTCTGAGTCCCGTTGGAAAGTTTCTTCAAATTAACAACCAACCTTCCACCTTCGATTTCTTCGGGTGCGATGACTTGGTCGGATGGTCCAGGGAGGGTGGGAGTCTGCAGGGGTTGCATAGGAAAGACCAGGATGCAGGAAGGGATGAATTCGATTGGACTCGATCTCAAGGATTCTTTCACTTCTCGTCACGTCTTTCATCCCTTCGCCATTTCATCTCCTCGTTCTCCCCCCTCCCCCCCCCCC